GCCACGATAACGGCGAAAGCCGCACTGAATATTCGCCAGAAGACCTTGATCCAAATGATTGTGCAGGCAGTTGAGAAGAATGTGAGCGAGTATCTTATCGGGAATTTTCAGCAAGGAGATGACTCGGTAGTTGTCGCAGAGCTGGCGATTTCCTATCCGTTTGTATAGGTGGATGATGGTGGTGTCCTTGAAATCCTGCGGGACGTCTCCTTGACGCCGCATCTCCTAGAACAATGCTGCCAGATGCTCCATGAATTGGGGACCATCATGCTTGTAGACCTCCGCAGAGCTCGCATCCGATGCGGGCGTTTTCCCGCTGCAGAGCTGCTGCACGGCCCGGATAGTCTCGTGGAGAGATGGTGGGAGGTGAAGATTGGCGTTGGTCTTCACGTGGGGCGGGCGGGCGATGGCGGTGTCGGAGATGTTGGAGGGGCGATTGAGGACGCCGCGGAATTGTTCAGCCAATCGCTGCAGAATTTGTGTCTTCACGGTGAACGTGGTTATTCAGTTGGCGCCGAGGAGAGGTGCAATACCTTTGGCGGGCGGACAGTAGATTGCTTGGATGGTAAAGATCTTCTTCCATTCGTTGTGGTCCGCGTACCCTTGGATCTTCTAAGCCTTGCGGCAGTCCGTGCGTTCTGCATCTTGCGCAGCCGCTTTTGCACAAGGCGGCGGCAACGGGAGAATGCTGCTTTGTTGTCGTCTTCGTCGTCGGTGGGGTGGTCTATGCAGGCTTTTTGCAGTCGGTCGATCTCGGAGTGCAGGTTGTAGGTGGCGGGGTGCGCGACCGTTGACGGCCAGCGTCTGCGACTGGATTGTGTCCCAGCAGTTCTCCACGGAGCTGTTCTCGTCTGCGGCGGCGGCGGCGATCGTTAGATTGTCTAGTCGCTGAGCTATCTCATTGCTGAAATGCAGATGGTGAGCGGAGAAAGACAACAGGGCAATATTCAGCTTACCTAGGGGTCGTATACCTTGACATATCCTGTCAGGTCAAATGTCTGGGACTCGCGCCTTCATGCCACCGTGGAGCCGACGTATCATCTGATTTAATCCCTCTCGATCTCACTCTGTCACTTACGCCACCGTCATCTATCCTTCCCAAGATCAAACCATAAGCCTGTATTTTAACGAACCTTGTGCAGTTTTCAAGCAGTGCAATTTCACCCGGTGTTTGCCTAACCCTGATCGACAACGCACTCTAGGGCAGACTTAATGTAACAAACAGCACTTGAAAGACAGCGATTCCACACCACCATCTGGATCACCTGTGGCTACATCAAGCTTCGACGAAGGGCTAACGTAGTTCAGGGCGACAGTCGCTGTGAGACTGAAGAGAAGATCGAGTAGAGAGTGCGTCATCCTCTTCTTTCACGGGAATCGATGCGCCACCCTGATATCACGCAACACCAGCACGCTTGCAATCTGCACATACGAAACGCTACCCAGCCAGCTCCCTCCCTCCCTCCGCATCGAATCAGTAGATTTTAGTACAAATCGGTGCACCCAAAGTGGCGTGATCTGTTCGCGTCTGTCACTTGGTTTGTGAAAAATGAGGACAGTAGCCCTAATGCAATGAGTGCAACATTCGTAAGAGGAAATACATATCTGCAGTTTTGCAACCAGCTCTCGGGGAGTTTACCCAACTCGTCAGTGTTGTGCCACACCTGAAGGTATAACCACTGTAAAATCTAAAATTGCCTATCCGCCAGAACCGAGAGCCCCTTCAGCTTGCAGAGTATAATTCCTTAAGTCTCACGCATCCACGTTGAGTGAATTGTTAAACCTCGGTGCCACGTTTGGACTGGAACCCATGGCAGCAAGGGTTTAACTATGTCAAGTAATCCATATCTCCTTATTTGACTGGCAAGGCGAGCGTATTACAGCTTGGCCGACTAGTGTTGATATTGCCGTATTAAACTCAAGTAAACAGACGAGTCACTTTGGTACGCATATGAAATACTCGGCGCCTCCGTGGGGCATGAACCCACAACAGTAAGGGGAAGCCTTAGTACAGCCAACGCTCTAGCCAACTGACCTAAGAGGCTCCATCGGACGACGCTACAATAATCGTATCTGCCAAAATACCTATGAATTACGTGAGACCCGTAGCCATCTGGTGGATTTTAGATGTATAAATTAGGAAATCATGCCTGGACAGTCAGCCTACTGTATCCGATTTGGTGGATTTCAGACGTTGCAGAAGATCGGACGGGTAAACGTGATTTAGATGTGATTAAACTCGCGTCGTCCGGTGGGGCCTCGTATCTCAGGTGGCTAGATCGTTGGCTGTACTAAAGCCTCTCTTTGCTGTCGTGGGTTCGAATCCCACTAGTTAGGCTTAGGAGAAACTTCGGAGACTGAGCCCACTTATTTTTCAGAGGTAAAGCATTCCTAGCAGTCTCATTTTGATGTGAGGAGAATCACTCGATAGCTTGGACGAAAATAAAGTTCAATTGAGCTTCCCGATCCCTTTTCGGCAAGGACAGCGACAGACTTATGTCGGGGACGTACAGAGGGTGAGATTTTTATAAGCTGCAATTCCTATGCTATTATGCGAATGTATATAATCATAACGTCCGCATTCACTTAGCTTTGTGTAATTCGTTTGACGATTTCCCGAGCAAATATATTTAAATTGTGACTGTTAACGATCTAACTGTTTTTTAAATACTAACCTCATCCTTTGTTCTAAAAACCGACTTTGGCAATTCTATGATTTTGGAAACTGGAATTTTTGCTAGAAATGTGGTTTTTCTTTCGGGCTGAAGTCGACATAATGCTGCAAATTGCTGAGTGCCCTTTTTCAATTAATGCAAGGCAGACCCCGATCTGTTCACATTGGCATATTTAAGAGACCCTGGTTGATTATTTGTCTGGTAGAACTACTACTGAACCGTTCACAATACTCCCACGTAGTCTTAACTGGCAGTACCTTTTCTAGACATTTAATTACCAGGTCGTGTAATGCACCAATCTATCGAAATCGAACTTTCGTTTAACTTCACTTCTCAGGGCTTGAATTAATTGTGCAGGTATGTGTATACCTGTGTGCGGTCTACCTGCAAGGAGCCTTTTAAAGCATTAAAAAGCACACACATAAACTATGCCAACTGCCGATTTTGTTGTGCTTAGTTTTAGTCTGGCAGTAATACCAAGGTTTCTCTATCAATGAGAAATATCCACCTATCTATCATCGACGAAACCGGCAGTATCTTGTTTAGCCATCTGAGCACTTGGCCGTGTCAAACACACTGCAATCGAAACTGCGCGTCCGATTCATGTCAATTCACAATACTTGAATTGTCTGTGAACGCATTCGTGTACATGTGGGCTGTTTGCCATTTGTATACTTTATAACATCGATTTCCCTCTCGAAATGTCCCACACGGATGCAAATATCCGTGTCCGATCGCCGGATGTCAGACTGTTTCTATATTATAACAGTGTAGGAGGTTAATAAAAGAAGTTTGTTTATTTAATGCACATTCCGCTACGACGAGTTTTAACATAGGTAACTCCACTCCTTACAGAGCTCGTCGACTTCATCGTGGACCGACTTGCAGGCTAGCACCTGTAAATAACTGTGCCTAATTTAAAATTAACCATGTGTTTACCGTTTCAATGTACAAGTGTCTAAAATCAGAAATCATTATTTCATTTTCCGCATCTTCTCTTACCCACCCTTGGTTTGCTGTCCTGGATTATGCATCTCTAATTTATGCGAATATACCAACGCGCACAGCTGAAAAACATGAAACCATTAAGTACGTTAGAGACTCGTTTTGGACGTGATCATTCAGTGAATTCGAACTTGACTGGGCATCTTGCACTTATGTTCGGTGGAACACTAATGCAGATTGAGGAAGCTGCACTAATTTAGCCTTGGACTGGCGTGTTTCGTTGTTAATCACAACTCCATCGCATTTGTTTCACGTCGAATGTAAAAAGGCTTTTGATGACAAATTACCGATATTCACAATGACTGAATAGTAACGCCTTCCTTGTCGGAGGTAATCATGCAAGTATACAGAAGACTGCGGTTTCTCTTAGGAGCAACTTCGGAGACCGAACCCACTTAATTTTCAGGACTCGAGCTTCCTTAACGGTATTATTTTACTGTGAGGAAAATCACTCGATCACTAAGGCGAACGTAATGTTCACTAGAGCTTTCAAGCTCATTTTCGAACAAGGACAGCAACAGATTGAAGTTGGGGGGCGCACAGAGGGTGAAATAGGCAAGGACTGAAATTCCTGTACTATCACAAGCATATTCTTGATAATGACGTCTGCACTCCTCCAAATATTCGCACTTCGTCTGATGATCTTTCGAGTAGATATGTCCAAATTGTGACTGGCGGTGATCTAACCGTGTTTTACGTAATAACACAGTCTTTTGTTTTTGTAACCGACTCTGGCATTTCTGACATCGGTAACTGATATTTTTAATGTACAAATTCATACTGCTGGCCGCTTTTATTCGTTACCTATGTTATACAGAGACGGGCTGCAGTTGAAAAGCCGTCACGAAATTTATTGGCCCCAATAAATTCTGCTGTACATGCTTGTTTTCAATTTTTAAAGGAAATGTGGATATCTAGCAAGGACAAAGTCTACGTATGTCAGAAAGTCGGACAAAATGTTGACATTTCCTGAGTGCACGTTTGCAATTAACGCCAGACAAGCCCCGATCTAGCTCGGGTGTTGATCCAGCGCATCAGGCCACTGACTACCTGCTGCCAAGGTCATCTAGGGGCGCATCTACTCGCATTCAGCATTCGGCCATCTGGCGAAATCTGCCAGCTGCGTCATCCATCGAGCACGATCGATTTTCTTTCGTCAGGCGCGCAGGCCCCCCCTCACGGTCCAGAGGCCACCAACTCGAGGTGCGCCCGTAATAACTAACTGTCCACCTGGTACGCAACATGAAGCAGGGCCTTCCCAAGTAGATAGTGCCGATTCAGTTAATCGTATTTCTGTTTGCAACGACGTTTTCAAAAAAACGACAAAACAGGTTTCATTGTAAGTCGTTTATTTCTTAACATGTGGGTCATAGAAGGATCATCAAGAAACGCAGAAGTTTACATGCGAATGCTTGCAGCTCCAGCGATCTCTTCGAGCGTCTCCAGTGGTTTCTTCGACGACCAGCTCCAAGCTGTCAAGTCGTTGCTGACATCAGCTGGCACGCCTGGTGCCGTGAAAGTCTCCACTGTGTTTCCTGATCCACGCCAGCAACCTGCAAATTGTGAATAATTCCAGTGAAATTCTATTTTCATAAGTATCAAAATAGACAAAATTAGCATACGATTTGCACAATACCGCTAGACAAAAATTTATTTCAATAAAACTCAGAGTAGACTGAGTAAGTTTCGAACGCAGTATCTACTGAAGACGCTTTAACCAGTCGGCTGCATAATTCTCGTAAAAAGATCTACTTTAATAAGCAGACGATTTGCACTTCAAACGGACTACCATCGGCCCTAACCTCGTTGTGTTTACGAAACGCCATGCAAAGTCACATTTTCACATGGTTGTTATCATACGGACTGTCTTAATCTTCCTCATAAAAAGGACTTACACAGAAAAGGCCATTGAATGGCATGAAAGAGAGAGGAGAGTGGAGAAGGAATGCAGTCAGTGTAGAGCAAAGGAGGAAGGAGGCATCATTACCGAGAGCAAAGACGGCGTCGTCGGTGGAGGTGAGAAGAGCGAAAAACGCGCGGGGTTCCTTCATGCCGGCCAGCTCTGTCCACTGGCCCTGGGGACACCTGGCATCTGGTGGTGTGAACATCTCCACCACGTCTAGATATTTTTCACCATCATCTAATCCCCCGGCGACAATGATTTTCCCCCGAAAGTGTGTCGCTGCCAGCCCGCCTCGTGCAGTTCTCATGGGTGCGGCTGGCTGCCAAAAGTCCGACGAGGTAGCCCTCTCTCGCCAGTCTGCTCGCAGGTGGCAGAACTCCACAGAAGCCAGGCAGGAGGAGCCATTATAACCGCCAAAAACGAAGATTCGACTGTCGCCGGGCAGGCAGGCAGCTGCCGGGGCGTTCCTCTTCTCTCGCAGATCGGGCAGTTTGAACCACCTGTGTTGGGGAGGAGGAGGAGACGCGTGAGGAGGCAAAGCAGGAAGATTTTGCAAGAAAAAAAGGAGGCGCCAGGACGAATGTGCTCTCACCTGTCCCGACTGACTTCATAGACTTCACAAGAGGAAAGGCATCCACCGTTACCCCATCCACCGAAAACGCCGATAAGCGTCTCCCCTCCGGCTTCCGTCAGGACTGCGGCAGCGTGGTACGAACGTCCAACGGCGAGGGACGCCCGTTTGCGCCAGCGCCGTTCTGCCACCAGAAACTCCTCGACACTCGTTGAGTGTTCCTGTTGCGCAGTGTCTCCTCCAACCACGAAAATGCTCTCTTCCGTGGGGGTGGGGTGGGATAGAAAAAACTTTCATAAAATTGCGCGGAGGAAAGATAAAGTGGAAAGATAAAATAAAAAAGGCATGTAGTTGACAGAAAGAGGGAGAATATCATCGTCGGACAAAAAGACGTGGATGCACAAATCTCCCAGTTGAGTGGCCGCTAGTGACGGACACAAACCAGCCAGGTGGAGACACGGTTGGGTAAATCGAAGACGGAAAACAGCAAACGCGTCGGGACAGGCCAGACGAATGGACAACTCCGAGACCTCAAAACCCCTCAATTACTGCTACTACTGCAATCCTTTGCATTGTGTGGCGATGACAGCTTTACTGGCAGGACTGTGTGTGTTTGTTATAATTCTGGCAAAAAGGGACACCAACTGGTGAAATTAGACAAAGAGGAAAACAAGGCAGGTGCGCAGAAGAGGCGGTGCCTAACTGTCAGGCAACTCACCGCCCACGACACTGTAGGAGGCCCATTCACGCTTCTCCATGTCAGCAATCCTCTCTTCCTTTTCCAGCTGCGGATCGAAACGCAGGACAGACCACCTGTCCCGACTTTTGTCCTTCCCAAATACGAAGAAGATCGTCTGAAGCGGTCTCCGACGTCGGTTGAAGGGACACGGAGGCTTGTCCTTGTCTGTGTTGCTAATCCACTGTTCCACCAGAGCCATAAAACGACTTTCATTAGAAAATAAATGACGAACTGAAACAACATTTACTTACGCACAGCTTGTGCTATCCTGGAAAATTGGATGACTATCGACTAGGCGATTGCGGAATTGGAGTGTTGTCTGACACCAACGAACCTCCTTTAACATGTCGGGGGCGTGCAATCTCAGTCTCTCGTTATCGCACTCTTTATCGCCGGCACCCACCCAGCTTGAAATCGCCTCAAAAACTGCCTCTTCGGAGTCCACTGACAGATTGTCGTTTTGCAACAAAGTCAGCACAGTGTCAGCTGGCAGGCGAACAAAGAGGTCAGAAGAAACGAAACTCCTAAACTGCTCTTGCATCAGATTGATGCAAGTCTCCATCAGGGATCCCATGCGCATAGATTTGGCAAAGTCCCATGTGGTTGCCAGATTTTCTAAATTCACTCTTTACAGCCGACAGTTAGACAGAAAGAACCGGCACTTGCTTACCTACTGGCCATGAATTGCACTCCCCAATTCTCCAGATCAGACAGTTTCATCATTTTCGCAAACATCACTATGGCCATCGCATTCGCTTGGGTCACCTCCAACTGCCCGGTGTACACATACTGGATGATTGAATTTGCGAGGCTAGAAAGTGCAAAAGCAAAATCAGAGAGAGGAGGATGATTTTACTTCAGAGGCACCGTCGGCCATTTTAGCACCGAATTATCCTTCCCGAGGGCGCCACTGAGAGTAGCACGCAATGACGGAATGCGAGCTGCTAGTATTATTCGATGGGCATTGAGAATAGCGCCGTCTTTCACCTAACAAGCATGAACAAATTGCCGTGTAAAGAACGGTAACAGAAAAGACAGCTACCTCTATGACGAGCTCATTCAATTCTCCCGAAGTGCGAATCTCGTTGAGGGCTGGACAGCTACGAACCAGAGGAACTGCGTCTTCGAATACTTCGACGTCTGCGAGCGCCATCTTGACTGATAACCAGAACAGGAGCGAAGAATGATCTCGAGTGCCATTAGCACTGCCTCTTATAGTGCCAGCACACTTTGAACCCGCCCGCACGCACTCATGACCTTCAGGTCCTGATTGGCCGATTTCAAAGTGCGGATTCGATTGGGCGATAGTCGGCACAGTTATGTGGTGTAATGCGTAGGTGAGAACCCCCGAGTTATTTTTATTGGTCAGGGCTACGTGGGCCAGACACCGCCGATGGCGCACTTTCAAAGCCAAATGGACTGACGTGTAACTTGCTAATGAGAAAACATTCTGCGATAATTTAATTATTGCCACTGGGTTTTTGTTTGTTTTGTGCTGATAAAGAGAGTTGGTGAAAACCGCATGGTGGCTGGATGGGGTTTCATATGCCCATGCGGAAAAACGGGCAAATAAAGCAGTTCGCGTAGAATAATTTTAAAGAAAGTGCTTTAGTAACCTTCGCAAATAAATACCCAAAGAGAATACGTCAGGTACCTACAGTACGCGACCCATCTCGTGAAACCCGATCACGGGAACTTATGTGACAACTTTTGGACGACTTAGAAGTTACGCATTTTGCTTGCATATTCGGCCCCTTCAATTAAATGTCCTTTTCATGTGCAGAAATTGTGTTTACACAATTATATCCAGCTAAATATTAACTATTGTTTTTAGAAAAAATGAACGTTGCAATATATTCGTGCCATTTCATATGCTAATATCTGTCCTAGACTTCGGTTGTGCATTTGAACATGTTTCTCATTAAAGGTGACTAATTTTCTCGCGGGATTTTTAATAAGCAGAGATTTGCGGACTTGAGAATTTGTTTTATGTCCGATCCTAACCATGGTAATCAATTTGCTTACACAAAGGTCATTTTAAAAGAACCAAATATTTTAACGATTTTTTAAAAAAGTCATATTAGCAGGTCAGTGCGACTTGGTGCCCTGAAGTGCAGTAATAACGCAGACAGGGATTCCTTTGTTTAAATGGGCTGAAATTGTTTTGCCGTTTAGAGGATTTAACGTTATGTCACAGAAATGACCACTACCAAATGGCCATTTCCAGTCTTGAAGATAAGAAACATTCCTCGCCGTGTAGTCTAGCTTGCGCAAATGCCTTATTCAGAAACGGAACGAGCCAAACATGAGCAGTTTCATCAGAATATCAGTATTTATGTGGACGCTCTCTCGTGCATTCATAATCGATGAACGGAGTCTAAACGCGAGCAAAAACGATGAAAATGGCCGCAATATATAGAGAAAGATATAATCTTGCGTCTACGGTAGAAATATGCCAGTATGGTTTAGGAAGGTGAAAGAAACGGCCAAAATTGTCATTTTTTTCTTGGCCTCACCGTGCAAAAGTGCAAAGTACACAGAGATCCGTCAACGGAGTGCAGTAAGAAAGCACTTCCTAAAGAGGTAACTTAGTAGAGAGGGTTTTCAAATTGTGATTGAAAGCCTATTTGTAACTGACTTTCGTTGTGGACAGCTATTCTATTCGACAATGAAGTTTCATGCTTGAGTGAGTCTTCAAATTCGACTTAAACGACCTTCTTCATGAAAAAGAACGTCCAAACACTCGCTACTTCGATAAATGCCTTATTTAAAAGTTTAACAGAAACATGTTACAGAAACGCTCTTTATGGGCGATCGGATGACAACACTGAAAATCAGCAACGTTATCCTGAAGAGACAAAAAAATACACGTTAATTTAACGCAACAAAAAGTTCTATTTACAAACACAAAATAATATAGGCTGTATGTTATTACAAAGACAGAGAAGACTGCAATGGCAATTTCTGGCTTATAAGCCGTCGTCAGTCAGTCATACCCAGTCCCGAAGCGTGGAACACGCGACACTCGAACTCGCGACCTGTTGGTTAGATGTACACGCCTCTAACCACTCGGCCACGAGCCCAAGAGTCGAAGACAATCGACTACTGTAGAATAACCACGTAATGCCAATTCAACAAACGAGTACTACCACAAGTAGTATGAAATGTATGCATCAAAGATACCATACCGTACTCCGGACACATGTAACAACTAAAAGCCCAGAAATGTGTTTCGCCGATACTCTGCCTCTGCATGACACTATTGCGAGGGGTTCGGCTCTTGGTTATGACTGGCTAACGACAGCTAATATGCCAGAAATGGCCATTTCAGTCTCCCTTGTCTTTGTCGGTAATAACATACTGCCTATATCATGGGCCGCTGTGCGGCTGCTGGTTGGGTTCGAGAGAGAGCCCGTAAGGCACGACGGAACGAGTGAGTTCCGTAAGAACGATCGGTGAGCGCCCCCCAACAGAAAATACAGTTAGCGACCCAACGCATGAAATGTGTCGAAATTTACGAATGATTGCTAATCACTCGCAAACCGACACCATTTCACGAGTCCGATTTCTATGTTAATTAGCTACAAGTTTAAAAGCATTAAAAACACAAAAGAATTGTTAAAGACAGTGTGGCGTTATTTAGAAATTCCGATTTATTTTGAAAAGCGCACTATCCCGAAAACGTCAGAAATGGCTCTAATTTAGTAAACGTCGCTTTTAGATGTACAGAATGTATTATCCTACCAAAAACGTAGTAAATATGAAAGTAGACATAAAATAACGTCTAATAACAGTGCTTTAGTGAAGTTTACATCTAAATATCGCTTAATGAGTAGTGTGATTTCATATATGACGGTGTGTCAACTGCCTACATTCTGAGTGCAGACTCCAAAACAGTTTTCCAGTGAGTCCTCCTTCATTTTATTTGTTTAAAGTAAATGAGATTGGGTTTAACAAGAGAAGCTGGATTTCGCTTGACTTCACCGATGGGGACGTCGCAGGAACAAAAGTTTTCATAAGGTGACATGCCACGAGACCGGTCGGTGCCTAATAAATTTAAATAGAACTGACAGGCGTGATCGTGAACGTGCCATTTTGAGTTTATAAAGATAAATATTCTTCCGTTAAATTAATTTACACTTCTCTTTCGTTTTGGATAACGTTGAATTTCAAATCGGCCTCGAAATGTTGCTGAATACTTAGTGATTTTCAGTGTTTTCACCCGATCGTCCATAAAGACAGATTCTGAATTGCCTGTCTGTTGAGAACTTAAAAATAGGATTATTCTTGAAGGCATTTACCGAATTAGTGAGGGTTCGGGCGCTCCTTTTCACGAAGATGGTCGTTTGGGTCACATTTGAAGACTCATTCAAACATAAAACTTCATTTTCGAGAAAAATGTCTGTCCACAACGAAAGTCAACAACGAATGTGCCTTTGATCACTGAAAAAACTTTCCGTAGTAAGTTACCTCTTTAAGAAGTGCTATATTACTGCACTCCGTTGATGGAATTGATAAAACCTCTGTTTCTCTTAAAATAACCTTTGTGTTTGCAGGTGGATCAACATGGCTATCATAGAATTTAAAATAAAATGTATAGCCCGGCTAAACCTGTTTATTAAACCTCTCATGGGCAAATTAATATCCTTTCAATGAAAAAGCCGCTCAGATGCGTAACCGGAGTCTAAGACATGTATTAGTATAGGAAATTACACAAATGCCATCCAACGTCAATTTTCGCTAAAATTTACAGATATTTGACTTGATATAATTACGTAAACACAATTTCTGCACAAGAGAAGGACATTTTGTTGAAGCAAGTGGGAGAACGAACAAAATGCTCAACGTTAAAGGCGTCTAGAAATTCTCTCATCAGTTTCCATTTTCAGATTTCATGAGATAGGTCACGTACTGTAGTATGTTTAAGATTGAGAGAGAGAGAGAGTGCCCGTAAGGCACGACGGAACGAGTGAGTTCCGTAAGAACGATCGGTGAGCGCCCCCTACAACAAAATAATATGTTTTAGATTACGCCTATCAGTTCTAGCGAAATTTATTGGTCACCGATTGGCCTGGCAGCATGTGACGTTACGTACATTTTTTGTTCTTAAGACGTCCCTATCAGCGAAGCCAAGCAAAATCTAGTTTCTCCTGTTGAACCGCATCTCAATCAGTCCAAGTAAGTCAAAAATACCGCGAAATCTCCGCAAACTGTTTTCGAATCTATACTCCGACTGAAGGCTGTTAACAAACCGTTATACATGAGATTACACTAACTCTTACACGATACTTACATGTGGACCTAACAGAAAAAAACACTATGTTTGACCGTTATGTTATTTGTACATTGATATTTACTCCGTTTTGATGGATAAGAAGCCATTTTTGACGTTTCCGGGATTTCGTGCTTTTCTAAAAAAATGGGCAGACTCAGGTACACGGTGAATCAGTTGTGAGTGATAAATTGCCTGTGAATTGATTGCAAATCTGTAGTCCTGTATTACGTCAAAACGCATGTTGCTCTCATTGCATTAAGGTTAAGTGCGTAGTATTCACAAACCGAGAGTCAACCACGAACAGTTTTACGCCAGTCTAGGTACATCGCTTAGCAGTAAAAAGTACTCATCTAGTGCGGACGAAGGCGGATGCGCGGGGTTTCGTATGTCCATGCGAAAAAACCAGCAAATAAAATGGCTCAGGTAGAATAACTTGAATGACAGTTCTCTGAGTAAAGTACGCAAATAAATATTCAAAGGGCATGTGTACGTGAACTATGACATTTGGCCAACACTACTATACCTCCTACACTGGAGACAAGTCAGTCTTAGTCCTGAGACCAATCCTATCCTCAAAAAGCACAACCTATCAGAAGTTCCTGTAAACACGGCATACTGACAGGATAGTGCGTATATTGCAGCCAACATTCAGGAGATATCTTTAGGGACCAGGGTTTGTCCAGTACTAACGCGATTGCAGGATTTCTTATAAGCAGAGATTTCAGACGACAGCCGTCCAGTCAGAGGTATCCGTAAACAAATAGTATGGAGCGCTGCTGTGAGACCACAGAACAGACTGCATTTGTTTGCCCTACCTTCGATACTACAGAAAACTTAAACATTTAACTAGTTTGGAGCTCGAAGGTCGGCTTGGTGAC